TGCTGCTCCCTGTCACCTCCCCCTTCTTTCCACTAATGGGCTGGGCATGCTGCCTCTCTTAGCTTCCCATATCAGCCTTACAAGTGAAAGGCTAGTGTCCATAATTGAACCCATATTTCCCCTCTGGGACATTGCAGAGCAATAATATGAGGCCACTGAAACAAAGCCAAAATGGCTGATTGCTAATAGTTTCTTCCCTTCTCAGATTAGCATCAGGTCTATGGCTGCTCATGCCCATGGCAAACTGGAAAACACGTGCCCTTCACTTCCCACAAGCCCTAAACATTTTGCTGCTCCAGGCAACCACCTGTTCTGCCTGTATAACAGAGCCAGCCTTGGATGTGACGAACATTCCTACCAATTAATGTGGCATTAGTAGTCATGCTATTAGCATGGCCTTTTAATCAGTGTAAGTTTGAAGCCATCTGTTTGTAACTAAGACGTGGTGTTTTGCTGCATGCTTATTTTTCACAGTGAAAGCCCTTCCTCTGACAGCTGTGAGCTTTGGCATTTCAGTGGCACAGTTCTGTAAGACTGGGTTTGATCTGAGAAACTTCCCAAATCCATATTTTACAAAGTGCAGATTTGATAAGTGCAGCTACAGTGAGGTAATTGTTGGTTGCAGCAGGCTGGCTGGAAGAGCTGCAGCATGCTAAGCACAAAGACTAGGTAGGTATAAGGTCTGGAGTTTCTGGCTGGGCATATCAGTGATGGTGACTCATCCAGGGCAGGGCAGGCAAATACCATATTTACTGATGTATAAAACCAAGATATTTATGCCACAATTTTAAGGCAAAACTTTTGGCTCATGTACTAGTCAAGTGTGGGAAAGAGAGGTGTTCTGCTGAGTCCCCTGTGCTGCTTCCTGTTCAGGGAAGTCCCCCTTCTCCATAATCTCTTATCTGTGGAGCACAGGGATGGTGGGAGTAGGATCAGTTTACATGTAGGACATATTCGTTAATCTTTGCTGGGAAGAGAAGGGGTTTAACTTTATGGGAGTTGGTTTATAAGCAAGTATATACGGTAGAACCTTGCATGTTCATCATTGTCTAACTGGGGAAATGAACTGTGAAGGAGACCAGAGAATGTTTATCAATCATTCATGCAGCACATTAACCAGTGCTCTGACTCAAGGGCAAGAACTTCAAAGTTATAACTTTGTGGACATAAATGGCACTGTCTGGCTTCAGACTCTCCATGCTGACCCCTCCCAATTCCACCATTTAGACAAAGCAAACAGGGATTTTCAACAGATGATATCTAGTGTTACTAGCAGTCCTCCCAGCATGTCTGAATTCCAAAGTGTAAACAACAGGGCTCCCCAACCCAAATAGGCTTTCAAAGCTGAAAGCGTTGTGAAGTCAGTAACTGGTTTTTTTTTTTTTTTGGTTGCAAACCTGGTGTTTGTAGTTGTCAGATGACAGCCAGCTGCTGAAATGTACCAGGGAGAGTTCTCACTATGAGCTGACAGCTGCCTGCTGGCTACTCACAGCCTTTCTGACCCTGAGTGTAAGCAAATGAAAATAACTCAGTTTCTGGTGGCCAATTCACGGTTTCACTTCTGTTTCTATGGAAATGGGCACAGACTGGCAGAAGAAAAGGGACAGAGTGCGTGTGTGTGCTTACATGCGCACACACATACAAATGTTTTAAAAAGCATTTTTTAAGGAAACATACATATGTAGTGAAAGAATATTGGATCCCTGGACTCCTCAGGTTAGGAAGGAAATTGAACCATCGAAAACAGCATTATGGCTTCTATATAAACACTAATTTAGGACCCTGTCCTGTAAACACTTATCAGTGGGCACAATGCATACACCACCAAAGTCAGTGGGACTGCTTAAGGTAGTACATACTTTACCTGATAGTCTGTATTTGCAGGACTGGACCTAAGGGGTCATGAATACATTTATCATGCCTGGTCTTTTAGGCTCTTCAACAGTAACAACAACAACCTGTTTAAACTAATATCTCAGAATATGAGGTTATGGCAAACAAAGGCTGCATTAACCTGCTCCAGGGGTGAGCTTGGTCCCCTGACCTCAGTGTAGTAACAAGCCTCTCTCTTGCTCCATGCACTGGTGGTGGGATTAAGCTGGCCTAGTGAAGATAAGTGACTTGTCCACGCTCACACATGGAACTGGGAATAGATCCCCAAAATCAGGAGTCCTCATGTTCCTTAATCAGAAGGTCATCCTTCTTCTTACAAAATAACAGCAAGGAACAATTCCCACCTATCTCAGTCAAATTAGAGGGTTGCTCGCAGGGGGCTAATTAGAACCCACTCAGGAAGAAACTGGAGTCTGAGATCTGCTGGTGATTTCCTCAGGTGAATTATTCTAGGGGACCAGTGGGCTGAGTTTGCCTGACTGACACCAATCCAGGCTTTGTTAGCAAAATACCTGTCACCAGTGACAATCATAGGACATGCCAGATGGGAGTCTCATCTGAGCTAAATGGATTGTAGCTACTCCCCCTGCGTGTCCACTTCTTCTGCAGCAGGCTGCTGGCATTCTGCCAAAGAGCAGCAAGCAGCAGCTGATGGGCCTGTGGTTAGTCTGCACATCCACTATGGACAACTGGAAGGGAACTCTGAGCCACAGGGGAGCCAAAATCAGGATCTCAACATGTGGAGTGCCCGGTTTATACCTTTCAGTTAGCTCTGTTACAGTGCAGCAAAAGGGGATAGTCACAATCACAGCCATACAGGCAGCAAAAACTCAAGTTTTGGTGCTGCAGCTGATTAGGCAAGTTGAAATGGGGAGGGCAATATTTGACAGTGTTTTTATAGTGCTGAAAAAACAATAGACATCTTTAACAGGACCTTCCAAAATCAGCTCCTGGTCTCACTCATGTGTGGGTATGGGAAGAACTGCCTGTAGGCAGAGAGCATTGATACTCACAACCCCAACATTTATTTGTGTAAAAGGCTTTCTTTACAATACGTCTGGGTCTGAAATCTCTTACCTGAGCAGCAGCATCAGGAAGGCTCTGCTCTGATCCCTGTGGTGCATC